CAAACTTTATACATTCCCTCTTATTCACTGTTCAGCTGTCTCCTAAATAGCCGCAGAAAACAGAATCAGTCTCTTGTGAAGATTCCTAGTGTGTGAGGAATCACATAAAACATAGAAAACAAACACACAAAAGAAGGAAGGTGGTTTAGAATGGAAGACAAATCCATCACAACAGATGTGCAAGGAATAAAAACACACAAAAAGTAGAAGGCAGTCCTCCATGACACATCTACAACTTCACAGCTCCTTGAAGAGAGAAAACAAAGACAGTGAAAAAGCTGCAGTATCAGAAAGATTTCAGAGAGCTGTTTTTCAAAGGGTGAGTGGACATATGGAGAGCAGGTGAATATGTAAGGAAATGAATTCAGGACTAGAAAATTCAAGACTGTACCTCCATCCATGAGTATGAAATGGTCAATAACACTGAGTAGTGAAGATATGCAGGAAAACTTCAGCAAGGAAATCAAGATATGGAAAAAGAATCAAACAGAAATTCTGGAAGTAAAATAAAATCAAATAAAAATATGTAGCAGAAAACATCATAAATAGATAACTAGATCATCCTGAAAGTATTTCAAAATATTTTTTAAGAAATTCCAGATCACAAATTCCAGAACAAAGAAATGTTAGGGGAATTCATACTTTATTCAGGGCAGGAGAACAGTCAAATTCCAATCTAAAAATTATATATCACATTTTAAGTGAAATAACATTAAGAAAATAGAGTAGACCAAAAGCATAGCAGAGGAGTGGTAGACTTGAAATAAAAAAACTAATAAACTATATTGGAGGTTTTATTTAAGGAGTTACTTTGATTATATAAATTACCAGTTTCATTAAGCTTCAGAATCTTGTTCATACTATGTAAATACATATATTTACAATATTTTACTTTGTATATCTTTACAAAGTAAATATAACAAATTAGACAAAAGAAAGTGTGATGCATGTGGGTTGTATTTAACAGTCCATGGAGAAAGAACTGAATCATGAAACACTGCCATTTAAAAGGGATATATTGTTCAGGAAACCATGGAGAGTGAAGGGCAGACAAATCATCTGACTCACATTTCATTAAAAGAGAAACAAGAACTCTACTGCATAATGGCAGGTGGACAAATCATTGTTACTTTATTTAATCACTGGAAGAACCATTAATTTTCAGCACAAACCCCACAATAACTGAAAATAGACATTTAAATGCAGTTAATCCTAAAATTTTTAAATACTGAAAGGACAAATTGTGCTAATTGTATGGGGAAAGGAAACCTGTGCCAAAAATATGAAAATAATTCCAAAGTTTCTTACTAAGATAAATAGTATATGTAAGATAATCAAGAAGTTACTAAACATATGTTAATAAGAAGCCAGAAAATAGAGAGCTGAAACTACTCTCATAAAGACAGTAAGTTTTTGATCAAAACTTCTTTCTACTCAGGGTTTTTCTCAAAGCAACTTTAACATCTTTGTTTCTCAGGCTGTAGATTAACGGGTTCATCATGGGAACCACAATGTTATAAAAGACAGAAGATACTTTTCCTTCATCTAAAGATCCAGCCGAGGAGGGTTTGAGATACATGAATGCACATGATCCAAAGAACAACGAAACAGCAATTATGTGGGAACTGCAGGTGCTGAAGGCTTTGGACCTGCCCTGGTTGGATCTTATTTTGAGGATACTGGAGAGGATGAAACCATATGAGATAAAGATGATAATAGTGGGCATGGTGATGTCTTTTCCTCCAACAATGAAAATCTCTATCTCATTGACATAGGTGCTGGTACAAGAGAGCTGCATCAAAGGGAGGAGATCACAGAAATAGTGGTTGATGATGTTTTTATCACAGAAGGTCAGTCTCAGGATACAGCCAGTGTGGATCACGGCACCAGAAAATCCCATGAAGTATGAACCAAGCATAAGATAGGAACATACTTTAGGTGACATGGCAACATTATACAAAAGCGGATTGCAGATAGCCACATAGCGGTCATAGGACATTGCTGTCAGAACATAACATTCCGAAATGACAAAAAAACAAAAGAAATAGAGTTGAGTCATACATCCCTCATAACCAATAATGTTCTTTCTTAGTATGAAGTTCATCAGCATTTTGGGTGTAACCACAGAAGAATAACAGAGATCTATGAATGATAAATTAAAGAGGAAAAAGTACATTGGGGTGTGAAGGTGAGAATTCAGGACAATTAGAATGATCAAGGACAAATTTCCTAATGCAGTTATCATATACATTACTAGGAAAAGTAAGAATAGAGGTATTTGTAGATCAGGCTGCTCCGTTAACCCCAAGAGAATGAATTCAGTTACCAAAGAGCCATTTGCCAGGGACATCTTCTTTGAGAGATTCTGTGGAAACAGGTGAAAAAAACTGAAAATAAAGTGTCACAGAGAACTTAAATCTGTATGTTTTCCCATACATGTGAGGGATATTCTGGGACTGTCTGCAGATGACCCATGTGAATCCACAGAGCAAGACTTTCATGCTCCCGTGCTAAGTGATGTATCGTCCCCACATTAGAAACCTAAAGGTAAATATAGTAAAGACAATCACCAATAGCATACAGAGCTAAGAAGATTCTACATGATTATCAGAAAAATCAAAAAGAGAAGTGGGCAGGACCAGTACAGAACTTATTCCCTCTTTTTTTATCTAGACATTTCTTTATTGTTTTAATAATCCCAGATGCAGGAAGAACCAACCTGGTGTTGACCTCATATCTATGTTGAACTTTGAAGGACTGGGACGATGAAAACTGCTGCAAAGCCAAAAGTAATGAGTCTAAGAATGTTTAAGAAATTGCCTATGTCCAAGGAAATCTTTCAAGTGTAGAAGAATCTAAAATCTGCCCGCGAAAAGGCAGGTTTCTAATTAACACAGTGCAATCTGTGTCTACCGACTGAACATTTTCTGCCCCCTATTCCAAGACATTTTCCTGGGAATTTCATTTGAATCTTAGGAGTCCATAAAGTCAGTGGTTGGGGGGAAGGCACATCTTGGGTACCTGGACTTCAGTTCTGCCTAAAGCTGTTATGCAGGCATACAAACGAAGATACCTACAGGGAATTACTGCATGACCTTTTAATAATACACTCTGAAGGAGTGATATTCAGACAAGCAAAGGGCAGAATGTTATCTGCTGGAGTCAATGGGAAAAAAAATAAGGAGATACTAGTCAAAGGGCAAGATGACCCAATATGAGACATTATTCAGTTCCAGAGTTCTGATATTAACCATGATAGAAATACCTAGCAATGTTTTGTTTGCTCATGAAATTTTGAACAGAGTACATCTTAAAATTATCTTCTCACATTTTGCATGCACATCCAAACATAACAAAAGCAAGCCTATGTAGATTGAAGACACATGTGAATTTGCCTCATTCTAGGGATTTCCCAATGAACAAATTGTTCAAAACAAGTGTCATAGCTAATATATACTACTAAAAATTATTTTTATTATATGCAATTTGTATATTTATGGGGCACTATGTGCACATCAGTGCAGGTGCCCACAGAAGTCAGAGACACTGGATAAACCGGAGCCATAGTTATAAGCAGTTTTTAGCTCCTAGAAATGGAAGCTGGGAACAGAACTTGGGTCTCTACAAGAAGAGTATACAAATGTACTCTTAACTGCTGACAACTCTCCTGCTCTAATATTATTTTTTTATTTTAGATTTAACTTAATAAAGATCTAAGATATAAGTAAGATATTAGTGCAGATTTCCAAACTTACCATATTTCAGAGAAAACAAAATGTTCCTTTCTTTTCATTTTTTGCCCCTTCCAGAATGGCAGTATCAGGCTTCGTGGTTTCTTAGTTTCTAAGAGGTGCAACCAAAATTAATTTTTCACACTCCCTGGAAATCTTTCTGAACCACTGGTCACAGTTTATAATTGATATGTCTTCTTCTCTGAAGCAGTAGAGCAAAAATAAACAGATTTCCCTCTTTTCACAATTGCCAGCGGATGAGACATCAGAAGCCTTTACATATTTTATTAGCATACTTCATTTGACTATCAGTAAGGCTGAACTTTTCTCAGTCTTTTTCCAGTTAACAGCTATCACTTACATAAAGGGAATGAGGTGACTGCATTTACATGCTTGACCAGGATGTGCCTTATGATCCTTAGGGACTCAATATTTTGCTCAAGTTTGACTTTCTCTTTGGGAATTGTACATCTTCCGTGCTTGAGACAAAATTTAACACCGATCCCCCAATCACCTTCATCTCTTAAGGGAAAACTATTGCTTTGGGTTTTTTGCTTGTTTTTTTATTGTTGTTTTATTTTTGTTTGTTTGTTTGTTTTTTGTTTTTTGTTTTGTTTCTCCACACCTTAAATGACAGTGTTCCAGTCTCTCTCTGGCCCTCTTTTTATTTAATTTAAATTGCTTTTTTTTAAAGGAATTTAGTAAGACATTTACTTATGATATCTCCTGGGATTTCTCCAAATAAACTTTTAGAAATTACATTTCTTACTGTCTTTTTTTATTTTTAATGAACTATATTAAACCATAGCATTCACCTCTGCTCCTGGGCAAGTGCTATAGCATTAAGCCGCATCCCCAGCCTTCCAAAGTCACTTGTAATAATAAGAATGGGGGATATGTATTTAGATGAACAAGTTACTAAAGATCTTTGTATATCAGGTTCAGCTTTGTAAAACTGGGATGATAAAAATCATGTTTTTATCAGGTTATTATTGTGATTAAATGAAAAGAGATATGAAATTTTTTTACAAAAACTTTATTGAGAATTTCATACATGCATATAAGGTGTTCTGAATCAAATCCATGCCCACTACCTCCGCTCCAACACCTCCCATATCTCCCCATCACTTTTTTCTTTTTCTTTTCTTTTTTTCTCCTTTCATTTATTTTTATGGTAGAAATTACATTTCTTACTGTCTTTTTTTATTTTTAATGAACTATATTAAACCATAGCATTCACCTCTGCTCCTGGGCAAGTGCTATAGCATTAAGCCGCATCCCCAGCCTTCCAAAGTAGGTTCCCTTTTCTCAGGAGCATGAGAAGTCCTTGGGATCCTGTTGGTGAGGGGGCAGGGCTATCTGAACCTTAACACCCACCATGATGGATTTACATTCTCTAACTGTGAGTCAAGATGAATATTTTCTCTTTCAATTTGCTTTTTTAAAAAAAAAAAACTTTTACAAAAACTTTATTGAGAATTTCAAACATGCATATAAGGTGTTTTGATGAAATCCATGCCCACTCCCTCCCCTCCAACATCTCCCACATCTCCCCATCACTTTTTTCTTTTTCTTTTCTTTTTTTCTCCTTTCATTTATTTATTGTCATATCTCCTATTCACAATTCAAGGGCTTTCTTTTCCCCTTAGAGATAAGAGTTATGCAATTTGGGAATCTTTTAGATAGACCCACTGAAGGGGTACTCCAATTGCCTCACCCTGCTTCCCTGTTCAGCATGGAAGAAGCCAGAGCGGTCTGTGTCCTGATTCCCTATTGGCAATTTGGGTAACTCCTTCAGAGGATGATTTGATAAGAATAGGAGGTAGGAATTGGCTAGGCAGTTAGGTTGAAAAGACCCCAAAGAAAAGTAGCCAGTTTCTCGGCTAGGAGTCACAATGTCTTTGGACCTCTTAGTAACATACTCTGTTCTAAAGCCCCCCCATCTTCCCACCAGGCCCCATGTACTCCACCATATGTGTTAAGTCTTATCCAGTCAAGCATTTGTACCCAGATGTCCTTCAGTGTCAATTCGTTCACTGGAATCTAGTCAGCTCATCTAGAGATCACAAGTAAAGCATACTCTCCCTCACCCAGCAGCAATCAGTCTCTAATAGTTCTCAATCTAGGGCTGACCCACCACCCATTTCTCTCCTCCCTTCTGGGCCCTTGTTTAAGTGAGTTAGCATGAGTCCTGTGCTCCATGCCACCATTGCCACAAGTTCACATGTGCAAGCTTCCAGTGACCTGGAAAGTCTCTGCTTCCCTGTGTTCATGAACCAGTCCTGGCTTTTATAATCTTCCCAGTTCTTGAATTTAGAGAAGAGTTATATCCATATTATATTTATCATTAATTGAAAAATACTAAGAATAATGTGTATTTAAACTAAAAGTAAATAATAGATTATATCTGCCACATAGACACTGATTTCAGGAACGAGTACTTGATACAGATAAACAAGACTGCATCAAATAGAGTCTTGGCCACAGCAGAGAAATATCTAGCAGCATGAGGAAACCTAGTAAACATGGGGCAGTATCAGTCAGGCGTTCATTCAACAGGATATCAGTATCCAGAATGTATGAAGAACTCAGGTACGTTAATAACCAAAAGAACAAATTTGATCATTAAACGAGCAAAAAAGAACTAAACACTTTTCAACAGAAGTGCCAGTGGCCAACACATAAACACACTTCACACAATTTAACATCTTTAGCCATCAGAAAATCCAATCAAAACTATATTGATATTCCATCTCACTGGACTCAGGATGGATTTTATGAAGACAATACTATCGAAAGAATACCAAATAAAGGCAAAATTGTGATGAAAAGGAACACATGTTCACTGCGGTTGGGAAAGTAATCAAGTCACTGTGGAAAACAAGCACGGAAAATCATAAAATAGCTACCATGTAACTGGCTACTATACATCTAAAAATATCAAGCATAATATACGTCATAGATAGGGACATACCCATGACTTTCATACCATTATTCATTATAACAAATCCTGGAGTTAGTACAGTTCCCCATAAATGGACGAATGACTAAAAATTGTGGTGTATATGCAAAATGGAGAATTTAGAGTAAAGAAAATGAAAATCATTTCTTCTACAGAAAAATGCATAGAACTGAAAATTGTCATGTTAAAAGGCATGAGTAAGCATCATAAAGGAAATACATGTTTTATGATGATTTAAAAGGACATAAAACTTTTGGATATCTACTGAAGAATAAGGTAACAAGGGGGTGAGGAAGAGGAAGGCTATGGGGGAATTTAAAGGAGACTAATTTGATCAAAATGCTAAACAGGAATACATTTAAATATTACAATGAAATATATTTTATATAATTAATATTCATTATTCAAATATTTAAAAGAAAGCAAGTTTAAAGATAAAGAAATGATACTGATTGAAACAAACATGTAGTAGAACACTTGGGCAGGACAAATGTAACTGAGCAAAAATCAGAGATTGAAAGATAGCACTTAAATTATTCAAACAGGAAAAATAATGGGATGAGAGAGCTAGCCAGATGACTCAGTAGGAACGAGGGCATATCTGCGGATCTGAGTTCAATCTTCAGAGTCCATACTTGGGAAGGTGAGAGCTGATTCATGCAGACTGTCTG